AAAATAATAGCGGAGTACTGGTGACCCTGTACTGCTAATGAACCGTCTAAGCTTGCGCTTTACATAATTGCCTGCGTGGGACAGTAGGATCGCTTTTTAAATCGAGGAAACCTTAAAGAAAAAAGAAAAAAACTAAATGTTCAACAATTTTTAAATATACTATATATATATATATATTATTTTTTTTCTCTCTCTCTCTCTCTCTGTTTCTGTTTTCTTCGTTCCTCTTTCTTTCTTTCGTTTAATTTTCTTTTATAAACAAAATTCTCGTCAATTAAAATAATCTGCCCCTCGGGAAAATAATTTATATATCATAGAATTATGATGACCTCTGGTTTATCATCCTTTTAATCCATAGGAATTTCATGTTAAGGGGGTTACACAGATAAACAGGCGCCAGCGTGGCACCCTCCTAGCCGACATAAATCTAAATTGGTCTCTGAGCTTCATTTGAGGGGGTAGACGTGATAGTAAAGAAACGAAAAAAAAAAAAAAAGGAAAAGAAAAGAAAAGAAAAAAAAAAGAAAAAGAAGAAACAAAAGGAAAGAAGGAAAGGAAGAAAGAAAGAAAGAAAGAAAGAAAGACGTTTACGATCATCGTCTACATGTGAGACAGTTTTTCATTACTTATGATAAAAGATTCTTTTTCTTTTTTCTTTTCTAACTTGATTAATCTTCGTAATATGATTCACCGGCGTTTTTAAAGAAGAAAAAAGAAGAAAAAATAAAAAAAAAAAAAAAAAAAGAAAGAAAGAAAAAAAAAAGAAAATAAAGGACGAACGAACGAACGATAATCTATATTAATGTTAAATTAAATAATTAATACGTAATAAAATTTCACGCGACAGGGATTAAATAAAAATAATGTTAACGAAAAAAATGAATTATCGGATTAAGGAAAATCTTTTGAATTAACAATCCAAGTGTCATTTTGGATGGCTTGCAAAAGGAAACGGAAAAAGTCGAAGGAGCAAAGTGTCTAAAGGGAAAGGAGAAATAAATAAAATATTTATTCATCAGTGCAAAATTCTCGTCGTAATGGCGTAGCATCGTTAAAAAAAAAAAAAGGGGGAGGTTCGCAGAAGAAAGATCGAAATCGAAGAGAGAAATTCGTTCTTATAAATTGCAACGAACGAGAAATAAACGAGACAAAGAAAAAAAGATAAGAAAGAAAAAACAAAAAAAGAAACGCAATGCGGTAGCATGCGTAGAATTTGAGCTTTTTTTGTCGTTGCATTTTTGTTTAGCTTTTTCTTTTTCTTTCTTTCTTTTCTTTCTTTCCTTCTTTCTTTCTTTCTTCCTTTCTTTTCACTTTTTCTTTCCTTTCTTTCCTTCTATCCTTTTTCCTACCTCCTTCGTTTTCTTTCTTTCTTTTTTTTTTTTTTTTTTTTTTTGTTTCTTCGTTTTCTTTCTTCTTCTACGAACGAACCAGTGACGACGAGAGGAAAAATATCGAAGCCTCGTCGATTACATTGGCGATGATCGGATACAATCAGCACAATTCAGGCTACAACAAGCTGTTCACTCAGGTATATTAGACATGTTTACCCATTAATTCGTATTTTATTCGTATAATAATAATAATAATAATAATAATAATAATAATAATAATAATAATAATAATAATAATAATAAGAGGATAAAAAGAGAATTCAAAAGAAAAAACAAGAAGAAAAAAAATTACCAAAAATAAAGCAGAGAAAAAAAAAGAAGAAAAATGAAAGAAAGTAGCAAAAGAATACACGCGCACGTGCTCGTCCACGCACAGGTCAAACAGCAACAATAATAATGGTTATAATAACAACAACAACAACAACAACAACAACAACAACAACAACAACGATAGCAACGACAATGACAACAAAAATAATTCTATAGTTTCTTTAAATAGAACATAATCGATCGATAATCATCTTCATTATATAGTTAGACATTAGCTAAATCTTGCGTAAAGTAAAATCGACGGAGCATATTAAAAAAGGCAACGCAAACTCGAAATCCTTTATATCCTTATCGCTTTTTCTTTATCATACGGAGCCATTGCTGTTTGCTTTACCAAGCGTTAAACCGTGCGACAAATTATATGCACTTTGCCGACATTGTAAGATATATATCTTTTTTGTCCTTGAGATAATAACCCTCAAACTAAGAGTTTTCAAAGAATTTCTTTACTGCATAAAAGATACAGAGAGAACGAGAGAGAGAGAGAGAGAGAGAGAGAGAGAGAAAGAGAAAGAGAGAGAAATCTCCTTGAAAGTCATTGTACAATTTCTCTATTGGCATAAATAAATGATCGAAAAGGTCGATAGTTATATTTAAAGCTTGTACGTAATCTTCTAATACAATTATTGAAACATCGGCATTGTTAGGTATTCCTCCCCATTTTTAAATCCTACAAGACGTCTTATGTTCTATCACTAATATTTACAAATTTTGTGAGATTCTCGAAATAGAAAGTCTTTTTCATTCGTAATAAATTTCTATTTTAATTTGTTAAAAATAATTCTGACTACGTTGACGACATAAAAGTAAATTTGATATCCATTGGAAACGACTCCATTGGCTTATATTTAAATTGGCTAAAGAATATACATACTAAAAAAGTTTTAGTTCTCTTTCCCTCATCAAAAATACATATATATTTCATAAACATGCACATACACCCACACACACGCACACAAACATATATATATATATATGTGTGTGTGTGTAAAATAATATATACATAGATTGAATAAAATACGCGAGTTATTTCCATTCAAGTATCTCCTTCGAATTTCGACGCATGCGAATGCAGAAATTGCTTACATTCTATTCTGATTGCGAGAAGAAGGTCTTGATGGATAGTAATAGTAGTGTGATCCTAGACTATGGTGTGGTCCGTCGAAAGCATGAAGAAGGAGACACATATACATGAGAAATACAGAGACTAGTTATACGCGATGGAAAGGGGAGGGGGGGTGGAAGGGTGGGTATGCGAGGGGTAAGCAAAGGCCGTTGGCATGGCTACGACCCCCCGACCGAGTAAATTCGTTCTATGGAAAGCTCCTTCGTCTCGTCTCGTCGAGGTGAGGAAAGACGAAGACTATTCTTTTCATACTTTTCTTTCTTTCTTTCTCTCTCTCTCTCTCTCTCTCTCTCTCTCTCTATATATATATATATATATATATATATATATATATATATCTTTATCTCTTTCTAATAATTCTCTTTATCTCTCTCTCTCTCTTTTTCTACTTTATCTTTCGCTTTTCGATAAGAACAAATAAAAATATTTTAAGATGAGTAGGCTAATGAATTGTTAATGACCTTGAAATTCTATAGACATGCTCTTCCATATACTTAACGATCGATGATTAAATGATTTCGATTAGATGATAATGTAAAAGTAATAGAAAGAACGTAATCATACGACAATTTGTAATATCTTTAAGGTAAGATTGTATGAAAATTTTAATAAGGATTTCATTGAATATATTCCATTGGCAATGAAATTCTTTTTTATACATATTATAACACGCTTTTAAAGATTAATTTTTAATTAATATATATCGTGTTAATTCTAGAATGTTTTCATGTCATACATACGTATTTGTAAATTGTCGAAAGAATAATAAATGACAGATACTCGTGTATGTTGTAAATCAATACGACAATGTAAATCATATTTTATCATGTGTCATGAAAGAAAAAAAAAGGAACTCGAATTTAATTAATCATTAATTAAGTTTGGAATTATGTAAATTTTCAAAATTAACCTTCTAGTTCACAATATATTTGTGAATATATATCGCACGTATAATTCATTGAAAAAATAAACGTGACCTATTGGACGGATGCATATAAATCCTATAAATCGCACAATGAGACGTCGTAAATCGCGTCTTAGGTTTGTAAAAAAGAAAAAAGAAAAAAAAAGAGGGAAAGAAAAAAAATAACAAAAACCAACAACAACAAAAAAATGGAGAAATAAGAAGAGACAAAAACAACAGGGGACTCTAATTAATCGCTAATTAAAAAGGTATCATAAAGTCAAATTTTAAAAATATTCCTTTATAATGTTCCAAACGTGCCCGTAAAATATCCAATGTAACCCAATAAATAATGATGACAGATTATTAGATGTATGCGTCTTGTAAATCATGATATAGTACCTACCGAGATATCGTATATATTATACCCTGTTGAGAAAAGTCTCTTTTTCTTTTTCCATCTGATACTGTATAACATTCGCATATCTTTTTTATCTTTTTTCTTTTTTCCGTCTTCTTCTTCTTCTTCTTCTTCTTCTTTTTTTCTTTCCTTTTTTCTTTTTTTTTTATTTTGCTCTCTATAATTTCTCCAAGTTCAACTTCGAGTTTGTGTATTTTTCTTATAGGAAAAATAGATCATCGTTGAATCTCTTCGAATATAATAAAATACGATATCGTTAATGATAATGATTATTACGATTTATTTATCATTTATTATCTCTTAACATAAATATTCATTGATTTTTTTTCTTCGTAGATCGATCATAAAGATCGCAATTTCGTATTGATCTTGAATCGAAAATCGATGATCGATGATATTATTTATTTTTTCCTCCCTCTCTCTCTTTCTCTCTCTCTCTCTTTCTCTCTCTCTTCTTTTTCTTTTCTTCTCTAACGCTCGATGATACTTAGTTGTTTGAAGCGTAACCTTGAGAAATTTTTTTTTGAAGCTTTCGAAATGCTTCGACTAAGCTTCTTTTTTTCATCTCGTCCAAAGCACCCTTGCTTCGTGAGCATTCTTTTTTCTTTTTTTCTTTTTTCTTTTCGACGACACAATCGCAACCTAACGCCAATGTTATTTCATATCGTCACGTTAGCATAAGATGCGTGATATTGAACAAAAATCAAAAAAATAATAGAGAGAGAGAGAGAGAGAGATAGAGAAAAGGGAAAGATAAAAACAAATAAAATGAAGAGAAGATCAAAACAAAATAAAAATAATACAAAACAATTATCTGTTGATTTAAAGGGCTCGGCGGACTCGAACTACTCACAGCCGAGCTCGGATCTCTCGCTGGACGAGGAGAAGGAGAACTTACGACGTGAGAAAGAGAGGCAGGCCCTTAATCAACTTGAAAAAGCCAGGGTGAGTTATTTGTCCTTTATAATATGTTTTAGTTTGCTTCATATTCTTCTCTCTCTCGCTCTCTCTCTCCCTCTCAAGTTGCATCATACTTCTCTCTCTCTCTCTCTCTCTCTCTCTCTCTCTCTTTCTATCCTGATAATGTAAAATAAAAAGGGAGAAAGAAAGAGAGAAAGAAAATATCGATCGTCTTTGTTCAAATATCCTACATCGACATTGCTGAGGATATCTTACCCCCATAAAAAAGAGAGAGACAAACAAACAAATGAAATAATTTCTCTCCTATTTTTTTCTCCTTCATTCTCCATCCCTCTCATAACGATAATCATTAAAAGCTATTTCGTAATAACACATTGAGAGAGGGGATGTCGAAATAATCGTGAAAATGTTTCTTTTCATTCTTCCTCCTTTTTTTTTCTTTTTTTTTTCTTTTTTTTTCTTTTCTTTTTTCTTTTTTCTTGAAGACAAAAGAGTATAAAATCGGAAAGGATCATCGTCGATGTCGAGAGAAAGGAAATAAGAGGAGCAACGTTGGAGAGGGGAAAAAAAAATGTTGAGAGAGAGAACCTAAACTCGATCAATCAGCTTAAAGGAGAGAAAAAAGAGAGATAGATAAAGATAGATAGATAGATAGATAGAGAGAGAGAGTGAGAGAGAGAGAGAGAGAGAGAGAGAGAGAGAGAGATAGAAGGTGATATTGATTGACGGTACACGACCTTCCAGGACGGTCGGTCGCAAAAAAGAACGAAGAGACTAGCTGAGCATCTATCGTTTTTTTATTTTTTTTTTTTATCAAACGATTGTTATTGTTAGTTGTATATGCAATGTGCGTTCTAGCGTTTAGACGATCATCCATCGATCTTAAACACGAAACTAATACCGATCTATTTATTCTTTTTATCTCTTCTTTTATTTTCCTTATCTACGTATATTATCTCGATCGATCGGTTCTTTTTTGTTTTTTAAATTTAAAAAAAAAAAAGAAAAAGGGATTTGTTTTCAATCTTTTCTTCTTCTTCTTCTTCTTCTTCTTCTTACTTTTTAATAAAAAAAGAAACGAAATAAAAGACAGAAACATTTTTCCTGTTATCACGAACGATAATTTTCTCTGACAAGATAATTTTAGATTTAACGAGAGCTTAGACGGATATGTAATAAAGAAGAAAAACGTATGATCGTCATGATCAATATATATATATATATATATATATATATATATATATATATATATATTATATACCTGTTTATGTCATGTTACTTGATAATAATCGTCTAATATAAATCTAACGGGTATGCTCCCGTATCACGTACGTATGTGCATGTCGATCTATGGTTAAATCGATCGAAATACATACGATTGAAGATGGAATGACAGAATAAATATGCTTATAAAACTTTTCTTATTAAGTTTCTTCAATTTTTTTAACTATTAATTTATTAAACTTTGTTTCCTTCTTTTTTCTTCTTTCTCTTTTTTTCTTTTCTTTTTTTTTTTTTCTTATTTTGTAAATCACTTATTGAATTGTGTGTTTTGATATTTTTAGACAAAACCGGTAGCGTTCGCAGTGCGGACAAACGTGAGCTATGACGGATCTGCCGACGATGATTCGCCTGTCCATGGCTCGGCTGTTAGCTTCGAGGTCCGAGAATTTTTGCACATCAAGGTAAAGAAAAAGAAAAGAAAAAAAAAAAAAAGAAGAAGAAAATAATTAATATATTTTCGTAGAAATATTAGATGTATATATATATATATATTTTTTTTTTCCGTTTAATTTGGCTCATCATACTCTCGAAGATGTTTTATCGTAAAAGAAATTAGGACGAAGGAAAGTCGTGTTAAAATCGATTTCTTTTTTTTCTTTTTTTTGTTTTTCTTATTTTATGTTTTCCTTTTCGACGCGTCAAAATAAATTAGAAATATATTTCTTTCTTTCTTTTTTTCTTTCTTTTTTTTTATTTTTTCTTTACTTTACGATTTGACTTATATCATACTCTTCTTCTCGGAGAATTCGTCGAAAGTGAGATAGTATAGTGATTCTCTTACGTCAGAAATAGGAAGAAGTTCCAGCTATGTTAAAATCGATTTTGGCACGTTTCCACGTCGTTGCTTTAATACTTACTCTCGTCTTTCTCATCTTCACGATAAGATAAGACCGAAAAAAGGGATAACACGATGTAATAAATCGCGGATTAGAAATGGTCTTACTTACGAAATAATTATAACGTTATTATTTAGGGCAAGAAAAATAAATAAAAAAGTCATGAACGATGAGAAAACATACAAAAAGCATACAGAAAAGAATCAACGTTAATAACATTTACACACAAATAATAATAATAATAATAATAATAATAATAATAATAATCAAGATAAATATATTACAATAAAAATCGAGACAATGTATTTAAATAATTTCCAATATTAATAGAAAATAATTCTAATATTTATGAATAAGTATTATACTTATGAACGATAGGAAAAGATAACGATAAAAAAGTAATAAATAAGAAATACATATCTAATATAATAAAGCTCAATGATATAATCAAATATATATACATATTTATAGATATGTCTCTTTATATATACATATATACATACATACAAATACACACACATAGACACGCGCACGCAATACACACATACACACACACACACACACACACATATATATATATAATAATTATATAATATTTAGGAAAAGTATGACAACAACTGGTGGATCGGGAGGCTCGTGAAAGAAAATTGTGACGTCGGTTTTATACCATCCCCAGTGAAATTAGAGGCACTGAGATTGCAGGCTAGCGCAGCACGTGGTACAAAAGGTCTCTATTCAGCACGAGGAGGGTCTTCAGGGAACCTTGGCGAGAGTGGTATGCCTTCACGTGGTTCCACGCCACCTACACCAGGTATCCTAGCACGTCCTTCTTTCTTTCCCCCTGAAATCCACGGTCTATCTACCGGGTGTGCCTGTTCTCGGCACTGGCTCTTTTTTGATCCTGACGACCGAGATTCAGACGGCCACGTGATTACCGGGATCAGATGGGACACCGTCCTTGAACAAAATCATACGTTTTCGAGATAAAAAAAGAAAGAGAGAGAGAGAAAGAGAGAAAGAGGATGGAAGACAGAGATAGAAAGAGAGAAAAAAGAAAGAGAGAGAGAGAGAGAGAGAGAGAAACAAAAATCCTAAGTATTTTCCCTTCAAAACTTTCAATTCGTATTGTCTGAAATTTTACACCAAAAAAATTGACACGCTATAGGAAACATAGTGATCACACGTGAAGCACACGATTCGTTTGATAAATCCTTTTTATCTCTAAACACATAATTTTTTTTTCTTTTTTTTTTTTTTTTTTTTTATTTGTTTTTCGTTTTTTTACGTTTCTTTTTTTTTTCTTTTTTTCTTAAAGAAGTTATATATATATATACACACACACACACACAATTTGTTTTACACGCAATGGCTTTTATTATTTACACGTACACATGCACAATACGAATATTATATATATATATATAGACAATGGTTACACGTATCCATAAAAATACATTACAATTTGGATCCCAATTTTTCTCTCATAGGCTTTCTTACCTTGCAAATCGTAACATTTCATTCATCGCACTATTCAAAAGAAAAAGTTATGGAGTTTAGTTAATAAACGACCATCGAATTGCATGATCATGCGAATGTTATGAATTCGATCGACAGAGAGAGAGAGAGAGAGAGAGAGAGAGAGAGAGAGAGAGAAAGAGAGAGTTCGTCGTAAATATAATTCTAATCAAAAATAATTATCTCTCAATGAAAAGATATTTATTGATAAAAAAGAAAAATTAAGAAGAAAATAAAAAAAAGAAAAGATATATTTACGACGAATTCAAAAGGTGAATAGAATTATTTTTTCTTTTTTTTTTTTTTTTCTTTAATCAAAAGTCTATTAATCCAATTCAGCTTTTTCGTAGCACCGATCGAGTTCAATCAGGCTTGAATTAGACGTTAATCTTTCACTTTCACAGAGAAAAGAATCGACCCTCACACGCACACGCACACTCATACATAAAAACGTCAACAATCACCCTACTAATCACCCACCCACTCACCTACTCACATACACACACACACACACACACACACACACACACACATACACATACATACACGCACACATAAACGGACACAAGAATTTACTCAACACTCTCGCGATTCTTTAGCATTGAAAATAGATGTAGCTGAATCTTGGTAGTTTGCTGCTATGATAGCGAGCGTATGATGAATTTAGGTATTAGTTATGCACCAAAGCAAGCAAGCGTTTCTAAGCTTATTTAATTATGGTTCTTTTCTTTTCTTTTTTTATTTATTTTTTTTTTTATTTTCTATTTTTTTTTTTTTTTTTTTCAATTGGAGACAGAGGGACTCTTTCGAGTACTCTTACCAAGAAGAAAAGAAAAAAAAGGAAAAAGAGAAAAGAAAAGAAGAAAAAGAAAAAAAGAAGATTGATAATTTGGGAATAATTTTAAAATATTCCGTTTTCTTTCTTTTTCTTTTTCTGAATAGGTGACGATAACGATAGCGTTGGAAACGTGAGACCGGGAAAGGCAACCTTGACAACACCTCCGGCCAAAGAAAAACGAAAGAACTTCTTCAAGAAGCCGGTAAATCGAACGATAAAAATCTTTAATTCTTATATCCTTAAATGTCTCCTTCGGTACCCTCTTCCCCAAAAAAAAAAAAAAAAAAAAAAAAAAAGAAAAACAAAAAATTAATCGATCATGCATTTGCTTGTACGTCCTTAGATGTGATTACTATATTAGAATTGAATACGTCTATCGATCATTTTCACAAGAGCAGGAACAGGAAGATGAAACAAAAAGAAAAATGATGTAGAGTAAGAAAAAAATTGACCATCGTTTCGTCAATTCTAATTTCAAAATATATATCTCTAATCACGTGCAATCGATTCTGTCGTATCCTGTTGAAGAATGGATGACTATTTTGTTTGTTTATTTTTAACAATATTTAATGTCGGTTATCTTTTTATTTATTTATTTCTTTGTTTTTTTTTTTTTTTTAGGAACCAACAACACCTTACGACGTTGTACCTTCTATGAGGCCTGTTGTCCTCGTTGGACCATCTCTCAAGGGCTATCAGGTGACGGACATGATGCAGAAAGCACTTTTCGACTTTTTGAAGCATCGATTCGAAGGAAGGTATGAGATAATATCATGGAAATCTGTTTTTTTTTCTCTCTTAATAGATATCGTTCGAACGTACTCTTTCCTCTTCTTCTTTCTCTCTCTCTCTCTCTCTCTTTCTTTCTCCCTCTTTTTCACTCTTATTAATTTTATTTATGTTTTTATATAGGATTATTATAACAAGGGTGATGGCTGATATCTCATTAGCAAAAAGATCATTACTAAACAATCCCACCAAAAGAGCGATCATGGAAAGATCGACAAGTAGAAGTAGTTGTTTGGCAGAGGTTCAAACGGAGATCGAGAGGATCTTCGAGCTAGCGAGGACGCTTCAGGTTAATTATTTAAAATCCGTAATTGGTTATCTAAAAATTATTTTCTTTTTATCTATCCATATCTATATCTATATCTATATCTATATCTATATCTATATCTATATGTATATATATATATATATATATTTTTCTTTTTTTATTTTAGTTGGTAGTCTTGGATTGTGACACGATCAATCATCCATCGCAATTGGCGAAAACCAGTTTGGCACCTACAATCGTATATTTGAAGATCTCGTCGCCCAAGGTCCTGCAAAGGTTGATCAAAACCCGTGGAAAATCTCAGATCAAGCATTTAAATGTTCAAATGGTGGCGGCAGAAAAATTGGCGCAATGTCCGCCGGAAATGTTCGACGTGATCCTCGATGAAAATCAATTGGAGGATGCCTGCGAGCATGTAGCCGAATATCTCGAAGCTTATTGGAGAGCTACCCATCCTCCGGTAATTGCAGCGGTGCCACGTGCAATGCCTGCACCTGATGCACCAGTCGACGCTTTAACTCCTCGCGTAACACCAGGTATCTTATTATTATATATTTATATATAATGGAACAAAATCGAATGATCCTTGAACCCATAGATCTTTTTTCTTTCTTTCTTTTGTTCTTTTTCTGTTCTTTTTTTTTTTTTTTTTTTATCGAAGAAAAAAAAAAGAAATCAATGTCGGCGGCACTCGAATTTATTTAACGTATAAACTTCTTTTATCAAATTTCAAGATCGCCCTTGTCCGACGTAAAATAATCGTTTTTTCTTGTTCTTTCTTTTATTTTTTTTTTTTAATTTCTTTAAAATCATTAATCCCAACTTCTTCTTGTTGTCGTGCATCGAAGAGCTAACAACAGGAAATCGGTCTACGTATATTCGACGACATAGAAATTGAATAGACTCGAGTGCCTATCGTTAGAATAAATCAGAGGAAAAAGAAAAAATAAAAAAAATTTCGATTCATGGGCAGAAACAGTTGTCGACATTCTGCACTATATACATATATATATAATATATACAAAAATTAATCGTTTAAAAAAGTAATAATTTTTTTATAAGGGAAATCGTTAACCGGACCCTTTTTTTTCCTTGACCTTTCTCCTCGCCCTCGTCCTCATCAGACTATCTTGAAACTCTTTGGCAGGGAGTTTTTCTTTTTTTTTTTTCTTATAGTCCACTCAAAATTCTCTAACGAAATTCCCTATTTCCGTCTACTAACATACAACACTTTCTTCTTTTAATACTTCAGGTGCCCATCACGAGAGTTACTACGGCCACGAGCCAAGAGGTAACTTAAAACCTTTTCCTTCGTGCGCGCATCGCTGCATCCCTTTTTTTTCTTTATCTGTTTCATTTCTTATTATCTCTCTTTTTCTCTATCTTTATTTGTTTTTTTTTTCTTTTCCTTCTTTCAATTTTCCGCCTTTTCCTTTTCTTTTTATTTATTTATTTATTTATTTTCTTCTCTGTCTCTCTATCTCTCTCCTTTTCTTTTCTTCCTCTTTGGTAACACCTATATCTGTATTCATCTTCGTTATCTTCGGGATTGCACGTAATAAAACGTTGGCATGCACGCATCTCTTCTATCTTTCATTGTCTTTTTTTCTTTTTTGATTTTTTGTATTTTATCATTCGCAAATACCTCCAAAAAAAATCAGCGCGATAGTTCATAGATTTCTTTTTTTATTTTATTTTATTTTTGTTAAAGGATGCTCGTACGGCTAATTGTATTAGATGAATATGAATGAGCTTAGACATGCGACGAATTGTCAATTATTTTGTAATATATGTACGTACACGTTGTTGTTGTTGTTTTTTTTTTCTTTTTTTTCTTTTTTTTTTTTTTTTTTTTTTTTTTTGTTATTATAGACATATCTCTTGTTCTATGAAACGCTTTCGATGTTGGAATTCTTTCGTCTTTCCTTTTTGTTTTCTTCTTTATTTATTTAGGTTTATTATCATTTTTGTAAATACTCAGACAAATGTGTCTTTTTATATTTTTTTTTCCTCTCTGTTCTTTTTCTGTCAAAAATTACAGCTGTCTTTTTATTATGTCGGTAATATAATAGCTACTGCATGTATGTATGTATATATATATATATATATATATATATATATATATATTCAATGTATTTAGAAGCACGTATATATATATACACAGACACACAGAAATACAGACACATACACATATATATACACATATAAAACTGAACGTATATGTATATGAAAAAATAATGCAATATTTTTAATATCGTCTCATTATATTGGATGGACCAAAAGTTCTTAGGTGATACAAATTCAATTGATTCTTTCTGAAACTTTTTAAGGCCTAATTTTTTTTTGTATGTCTCAGATCGTAAAAAAAATTTCATAGGCCCCGTAATTTTACGATCTGAAAAAGAAAATTAACTGCTAAAGGGAAAATCTCGAAAAAAAATTTCCAAGAGGAGTAATTGTCTTATTTTATCATTTTCTTTTGTTTTTTTTTTCTTTTTTTTTTTTAAAGAACTTTTGCCCCACACACTATAATAATTTACGTATGAAAAGGACAAGTGAATTTTAACAACGTCGATAATCTTGAGAGATAATAATTGCATCTCTTTTTTTCTCTTCTCTGATCGTCTCAATTTCTTTTCTTTTCTTTTCTTTTTGGTACTCGTCAACCTGACGTTTTATGTTTTTTTTTTTCAGCGACGTTTTATGCCACAACAAACGTGTATCCATCGCAGTGTGAGAGAGATAGAGAGACCGGGCCGCGATGACCTTCTTTTCTGTTAGTTTCTTAAAAACGTTCTCAATAATCCTTAATTTTTTATTTTTTTATTTTTTGCAAAAAAAAAAAGATATTTATATATACATATATACACATATAAACGGAAACGAATTTTTCCTCAGTTCGAATCATTTTTTTCTCTCGAACGAAAGAGTAGAAAAAATTAATTGAGAGATCCGCTTGAAGATCTTTTTCGCGTTCTTTCGCGTCAATATTTCTTTATTTTATAATAATAAATAAATAAATAAATAAATAAATAAATAAATAAATAAATAATAATAGTAATCGTTATTATTATTATGGTTGTTGTTACTATTATTATACATGTAAGAGATGTTAATGTTAAAAAAAAAAAAAAAAAACAAGAAGAAAAAGCTTAACTCTCGTGCACGCTACGCTCTCTACTACTTGTCCATTATAGGCTCACACGGGACACACGAGTGGATTTGAAGTTAGTTCATAGGGTTTCTTTCTTTCTTTTTTTTTTTTTTTTTTTTTTTTTATTAAATATATATAATATATATTTATATACATTATATAGAAAACGTGATCGTACCAAATCCACGGTTTTTTATTTTCTTTTTCCTTTTTTTAATTCATATTATCACTTCATTTTATTGTCTTGTCCAGAAATATTCTGGACGATTCAATTTACAATATCATATATACCACCTCTAAGTCCACGTGTGTTCTAGAGCCACGCCAGACTAACACAACTCAAATCAGCTGTGATGCGCACGTGCGTATATATATACATACACACATATATATATATATATATATATATATATATAGGTAAAAAATTTTAATAAAAAAAAAAAAAATATACGTGTAACTTCTGTATACTCACGCGAGGAAAATGCGACACAAGTGTTAAGGAAGGAAAAAATAAATTCCTAGAAAAGAAAAAAGATTTAAAAAAGAAAATAATAACAATAAAAAAGGATAAAAAAAAACAGACTAAACAAAAAAAAAATAAAAAAGAAGATGATCTCTGAAAGCTCTGACTCCGATGTTCTCTGTTTTCTTTATCTTTGTCTAAAAGCCATCGTGGAGGCGGTGGCTGCGACTGGGGTCATCCGAAAACAGGGCCGGCTCAGCACGACCGGTCAGAACTGATGAATCCAAGAGTCCCAAAGAGTCGAGTGTTAAGAGAGTTTGGGGCCTTCTCTCTACTTCTCTTCTTCATCCTTATCAAGCATGGATAAGAAACTTCTAATACGGAATTGAGATTCGAGATTGTTTAGAAAGAAAGAAAGAAAGAAAGAAAGAAAGAAAGAGAGAGAGAGAGAGAGAGAGAGAAAGAAAGAAAGAAAGAAAGGGAGAGAGAGAGAGAGAGGGAGAGAGAGGGAGAGAGAGAGAGAAAGAGAGAGAGCGAGAGCGAGAGAGAAAGAAAAAGAAAGATAAAAAAATAATAGAAACTATCTGTGATTAAAAAAAGTCTACTTTGTCAAAGGGTCGCCTTGTAAGTACACCCTGAACTTGGGTTTTGGTGCATGGGGCCCAAAAAGAGAGAGAGAGAGAGAGAGAGAGAGAGAGAGAGAGAAAGGGAGAGAGAAAGAGAAAAAGAAAGAGTGTGAAAGAAAGAGAGAGCGAGAGAGAAAGAAAGAAAGAGAGAGCGAGAGAGAAAGAAAGAAAGAGAGAGAGAGAGAGAGAGAGAGAAAGAGAAAACAAAACATATATATATAATATATTGATTTATTTACCCTCCCCTCCGGTTATTTTGTTAGTTTAGTTCATAATCCTCCACCCTGCTGTCCGCCCCTCTTTTTATGTCGGATTTGACCGATTTTGATTTTTTTTTCTTGATCTTTCTTTGAATTAGCCATTTAATTATCGATCCAATCGCCTACCAATCAACCCTCTCAAGTCTCCTATTATTATTATTTTTTTTTTCTTTTCTATCTTTTATTCCTTTCTTTTTGTTCCTTCTTTTATTCGTTTGTCTCGCAAATACCACGTTTCGCAAATATATTTCCTCACATAGAATAGGATATTTATAATGTAGTTTTAATCAGTAGATATTAACGGCGTTGATTCGGCCTTAATAAGTGTTCCTCTTGAAATCAATGCGATACATGGATTCATTACTTTTTTTATTTTTCTTTTTTGTTTTTCTCCCTTTTTCTTTTCTTTTCTTTTTTTTTTTCTTTTGTTGTTTTTGTCTCCTTTCTTTCTCCTCATTACGAATAAACGCGACGACGATTGGACGATCGATCGTAGAATTGTTTTAATCACAAACGAACAATTTTATATCTTCGAACGTCGGAGTCCTTTAGAGAGATTTAATAAGATTAATTAGAAAATAGATTTTGTAATATATATATATAAATCCATTTTTCACAATAACCAATCAACCCGATCTACGAACAAATCTTTTTTTTTTCTCTTTTATGTTTGGTTCTGCTTCATTTTATTTTATTCTTTTACAGCTTGCTAAGCTATATGTTATATTGTGCATGACACTTCTCTTTGTTAGATTGCGCGCATGTCGTTGATGTATTTGGCGTATGATTTATTTATGCATATAATCACTATACTTGTACACCCTGATGCTCTTGTAGAATACTAACGGATTGCAAAATGCTTTAAAATGCTTCTTTTTTTTCATCTTTATTATTATTATTATTATTATTATTATTATTATTATTATTATTATTATTATTATTATTATTATTATTATTATTATTATTATTCTCAAAGATCCACGCTTCGGACAAATTTTCGATATTTCTATGCCATTTCGAATTTTTCTCGAAATCTTCTTATTACAAAATATCATATTTTTCTTGTAATATAAATAATAATGTAAATAACGAAGCTGATGATAAGAAAAAAAAAGATGAAAAAAACCACGAGAGAGTTCTTTCGAAGAGAATATCAAAATAAAAAAAAAAGAAAAACAAATAAATAACGCAATAGGCGATTGAAAAGATCGAAGAGATGTAAAAAGAATAAAAAGACAACGGGAAACACCGAAGCATGGATCTTTCGAATAAAAAAAAAAAAAAGAAGTATCAGTTACAAGATATCGCAAAATGATCTAATCGAACGTATGTCTTTTCTCTTTTACCCTACCCAAAAAAAAAAAAAAAAAACAAATCTAAACAGGTTCGTACAGTGGCAGCGGGCACATGAGCAGCGGCACAAGAAGATCACGTTTGGAAAGGATGGATCGTGATCGTCTGGATCGTGGCGAACATGATTATGGTACAGAAGAGGAATCATACGTGGCCGATTATGGGAGTGTGTCGAGACGTCGCCAACAGCAAGACTCGCGCGCTCTTAACGCCATTTAGGAGCTGGGGCCCCGGGGCCTGTCGCTACAGCGCTGTCCCTACCTGCGCACCACCGCCCTTTAGTGTGTGGGGTCGCAAACAACCCCTTGCGCTAAAAAAAAAAAACAAACAAACAAAGAAGAAAAATAATGCAACAACAACTCTTTACGAGCTAACCGAACGTCCGAAGCACGCGGAGAGCGAGCCGAATCTCTCTCTCTCTCTCTCTATCTTTTTCTCACTCTTTCTCTCTCTCTCTCTTTCTCTCTCTCTCTCTCTCTTTCTCTCTCACTACCTATCTATTTATCTCTGTCATTGGGGGCTGTCAACGATTCTCCTTTTTCATCCAAGATCAGGAAACTACCCTTAATGCATAAAGGCAGAAGAATTTAACACATACATACATACATACATACATACATACATACATACATACATACATACATACATACATACACGCATACGTGAATTACATACATATATGTCTATATGTATGATTGATAAATAATTTTATTACAATAAAATGAAATTTATTGAATTAATTCAATATCTGAGAGTTCTCTTTAAAAATGTCATAATAATTGAATTGATTCATATATATATATATATATATATATATATATATATATATATATATATATGTGTAACATTTTATTGTAACTATATAGATATATAATGATGCACCTCGCCGATTCTTCAACCGAGCCGATATATAAATAGATACAATACATACGTGTAAAGTAAGAATTGAAATGTTGAAATGAAGATAAACATCATATATACATATATATATGTATATATATATATATATCTTCTTAAACGGATGATCATTCCACGGCTCATTTACAACCTCTCCTCTCATCCAATAAAAATAATCGCTCTATACATTGTATATCGATATCATCGTCGAAATACTCGTGTATTTGTATTTCATCCGAAGTCATCCGATCGAGATCGAATCGAGATATTTCTTTCTAATCTTCGTTTCTATTATTAGAACAATTCTACGAAGGATAAATTATATGTATTTAGATTTGAGAAATTTCTCGAATTATCTCCGATAATTATTTCTATATCGAGATTTGACTGCACATATTTTATTTCTCTAAAATATACATATAATCATATTCGCACATCCCACAAAAAAGATAGCCCTCTTTATTTATTTATTTATTTATTTATTTATTTTTAGTTTTACTTTTTTCTTTTTCTTTTTCTTTTTCTTTTTGTTGAAAACAATTTTTGTTCGATCGATCGATCGATCGATCGATCGATAAGATTTTGCACTATATCTATCTACCTATCTATCTATCTATCAATCTATTTATCTATCTATCTTGGCCATATTGGCTTAATTACGTTTTGGTAGTAGCACCTTTTCACAGGCTCGGTCGTTCAGTGTGCACGCTATATAAGAAAACCTTAATGCGACCCTCACCTATTTATCTATCATGCTACCGGGGCCACATTTCTTCCTAGTATGCGATTTTCGATCGTCGTTAAAGCCCAAAATGCATTAATTTAACACGGTCTTTCTTCTTCTTCTTACGAAAACTTGATTATACCTAGCTATATGGTTGTTTATTAATTTAATATTTTCTCGCACGTGCATATAAATATATATATATTTCTTTTTATTTATTTATTAGATTGATGCAAAAATAATTGCAATTTTTACGTATCGAATAAATGATAAAAATGGCAATTATTTTTCAACCAATCTAATATATATAATTAATGAAAACAAAATTATGTATATATGTATATATATATATATATATATATATATATATATATATATAATTATGTGATTTTTATTAACGAGTTGATTGATTTAATTACTTAATCTATTCATTAACTTATTATTTTTCCTTTTTCTCGCACAAAAAATTTGTTTTCATTCGATTAATTCCCGTATAGCTAGGATCAATTGTAGTCTCTAATTCTATAGAAGAATTTAGTAACACGAGCATAATCGAGATCGAAAGATATTAGCTTCTTCAATCTCGAAATGATCTCGATCTCTTACGACGTATTATGACTTTATAACGTCGTATAAAACGTGATTTCTTCTTCTAATTAGAATCTAATAACGTATGTCGAAGAGGTGTAGACCGATACGACGATGATCATCGACCAAAAGAGCACGCACGCACACACGCGATTAAACACGAATTAAACAACATTATTATCTTTGTGTATATAGTATACATACCTCTTATAATATATGTATATATATATATGTGTGTATATATATATTATATACATATAAATATATATATATATATACACATATATATGTATGTGAAAATATAATGAAATACTTCCATCTAATTCACTCGATAAAGAAGTGATCGAAATTATTCCAACAAATGATGATATATCATTTTCTCTAGAGCGAATATATATATATATATAAATATATATATATATAAATATATTTATATATATATGTACACATATATAAAAGAGGAATAATAATGATAAAAAAAGATCGAGTACGATAGTATTGTAAATACTTGTATGAAGCCTTTGAGAAGAAAAGAAAAGAAAAAAAAGAAAATTAATAATAATAATAATAATAATAATAAATAATAAATAATAAATAATAAATAATAAATAATAAATAATAAATAATAAATAATAAATAATAATAATAATAACGATACCTATCCTTCGAAATTGTCGATATTCGAAGTGAGATTTACAAACTAAGAGAAATATTTGTAATTAAATCTTTACTTGTTTTTTATATATTTAAAAAAATAGCGCTGAAATATTTAATATATTTGATATGTGCGAGGATATCTTTGTGATCTTGCACATTAAAAAAAGAAAAAAAAAAAAAGAAAAAAGAAAAAAAATACGTCTTATAATATATAGATCAATGATCCTTTTAATACAGTAACGTGCTTGGTACGAGTACTGTCTTGATTGCAGTTACTATAACACGTGAATACACACACATGTAGATTAATACATACATATAAATATACAAAATCTATACATATATACATACATACATATATACATACAAACATACATACATACATATATACATGAAGAAGCAAGTAGCAATTTACGAAAGTACATACACATGTTTCTTGCATAGAACGTTATCTGAACGTTCTAAGTACAATTGTTTGCGATACATACGATAATTAATTAATTAATCAATTGAATCATTAATTAATTAATATTCGTTGATATATGATGGAAAAAGGGAGGATCTTGTTATTATAAATGTAATAGAGATCGAATTTATTGAAATAATCGTGTATAATGCTCGTCTATGTCAAGAGTATTATAATGAACGATGTAATATATTTCGTCGCGTTAGAAATAAAATATTACTCTCTCTCTATATATATATATGTATATATATAAATATAAATATAAATATATATATATATATAGATATATATATTTACGTCTCGATCGATATAATATTTATGTTCGAACGCGCTCGTTCGCGCGCTTTTCTTCTCGAACCTGATAAAAAAAAAAAAAAAAAAAAAAAAAAAAAGAGAAAAAAAAGAATTATATAAAAAGGATCGAGAAAATTGTCGTTTCTCTTTTTCTTTTTCTTTTTTGTTCTCTCTCTCTCTCTCTCTCTCTCTCTCTCTCTCTCTCTCTCTCTCTCTCTCTCTCTCTATGTGATAGAGATAAAGAAAGAAGTACTTTGAAAGAAAGAAAAAATAAAAGAGAACGAGTTCTTTTTCTTTTTCTTAACAAAAATTTTATTGTCATTGTAAGCTGTTAAGGAAATTTATTCGCGCTCCTTTTTCAATTAGCGCGAAATATTCATTTTTATTACGGAATCGCAAGCTATATATATATATATGTATATATATATATATTTATTTATTTATTTGGCTTTGTCTTTTCCGGCTATTCTGATTATATAAGAAGTTTAAAAAAAAGAAACTTCTTCGACGGGTCGTTTGCAATCAAGAACTTTCTTGTAGCGAGATGCACTTTCGCATATACACATATTACCCATACAAACACATACACATACATACACTCAGGACATACATACATATATATATATACATATATACATAAACTTTGTATTGTAAATCTCTGAAAAAAAAAAAAAGAGAGAAACATAATTGTCGATAAGATTTTCAACATATTCTACATTTCTTTTTTTTAAGAATGATATTTTGTATATTGTGCGAAGCGAAAAGATATATGTTCGTACGAATGATGATTATTTATTTATATATATATATATATATATATATATATATATATATATATATATTGTTCTTCTGTAGAGTGAGAGAACTAAAGAGTGATGCGAGTTAAATAATGCGAGTAATCCTTGAGCGAATTTTTTCTATTTATTTTTTCTGTTCCTTTCATTTTCTATTTCTTTACTACTTTATCTATACATTTTTCTTTTTTCCTTTGAGAACTTTTTTTTTTTATTTTTATTTATTTATTTATTTATTAATTACTCTTTTTTTGTTTTCCTTTTTCTTAAGAACGTTTAAAGATAGAAAAAAAGACGATGATAAATAAATAAATTGTATTTCGCAGCCAACGCTTGTAAATAATATTATAACGATAAGAATATATATTTCCTCACACGTGATTCTCTACCTAAGGATACTCACGCTTCCACTTCTTCAAACGAACGAAATCGCCCCCTTTTCTTTCCTGTAAAAAAAAAAAAAGAAAAGAAAAGAGAAAAGAAAAAGAAAAAAAATTTTTAAAAGTAGAAAACCGGAGAAAGGGGGTGCGATGACGAAGGAAAGATAAAAATGACATTTTCAAAGGAGATTTTCGTAAACGATAGTTATTATTTCCAAATGATTCGTATAAGACGAAAGATCATCCAATTATTTTATTACTATCGCTTGTCTATCGAATTATATTTAATATAAGAAGAGAAAAAAAAAAAGAAAAAATTAATAATAAAGAAAGAAAGAAAGAAAGAAAGAAAGAAAGAAAGAAAGAAAGAAAGGAGAAAAGAAAGAAAAGAAAAAAGAAAAAGAGAAAGATCCATACACGATGATTAAATAATAATGAGGATAAACGAAATATTTTCATTGTAGCTGTACAAACTACTTTCTAGACGCGTTCTATTGTAATTTAATGACGACAGATTAATGATAAAAGTCATAAAAAAAAAGAAAATAAAAAAGAAAACAAAAATAATGAAAAAGTAAGAAAACAAGATGGTGGTAAGCGTCAAAAATAAACTGAATCTTGTCTTATTCGGGGGGGGGGGGGGACAAATTTTTATAATATTTTCTAAGAGAGTCTCTCGCAAACCAAGCAAGATGGTAAACATCTATAGAAATTTCATGTATTAAAAAATAAATCAATACGCGATATATATACATATATATGTATATGTATATGTATATATGTATATATGTACGTACATGCATGCAAAAAAATTTATGCGATGATAATAACTCAAAAAAAAAAAGAAAAAAAAAGGAAAGTACGTAAATCAGTAATCGATCTTTCGAAAATTTAGAACTGAATAGAAAAAAGAAATTAAAAAAATAAAAAAAGAAAAAAAGAAAACCATCGTGAATCATCCAATTATGTCGATAGACTTTATGAACTTCGTAGGCTTGATCAATGAAAATAGATCGTACAAAATGAAAAAAGAAAAAATAAAAAAAAAAAAATGGAAAGAAAAATCAGTAAAAAGTTAATTAAATATTAAAACATCGCATGCGGTAGTTTCTATCCGTAGAGATCTACACGTGCATAAATCTCAAGCAGCTAATAAACGAAATACATAATTATCTTAATTAGAAACGAAACTTTGACGAGGCTTGACACGACGAAGATATTTCAAGATTAACTTAGAATTTTGTCGTTTAAATGCAATAAAAAAGAAAAGAAAAAAAAAAATTAAAATAAAATAAAAAAAAAATTAAAAAAAAAAGCCGTATTAAAAGCACACGCAGAAAAAAATATTTAACAAGAATCAAGCAAATGAGAAATGTCGTCTGTCTCTAGACTAAATAATATCAATGTAATGAGAGAGCAGAAAGGGGAAAAAGAAAAAAGAAATAAAAGATTACAAAAATGATCAAAAGTTTAAATAGATCAAAGATGAAGAAGGGGAGGGGTTGAGAGAAACTTTAAAAGTCCGATTGGGAACATACACACATACAGACACAAACACACACATACACACGCAAAATCTTTAAAATGTAATAATAAACAATGTAAAAAAAAAGCAAGA